CGCACGCACGCGCACCACCACCGCGCACCGCCACCACCACCGCACCACCCCACCCACCACCACCACGCTATACCGCGTCACGCCACGTCACACGCGCGCACACACAGACACACACGCACGCACGCACGCACGCACGCACGCACGCACGCACGCACGCACACACACACACACACACACACACACACACACACGCACACACACACACACGCACACACACAGACACACACACCACCACCGCCACCACCACCACCGCCATCACGCACGTACGCACCTGGCCCACCACCAAACCACCAAGACGCCACACCACGTCACACCACAGCACACGCGCACACACACGCACACACACACACACATACACACCACCACCACAACAACCACAACCACGCACACACGCACGCACGCACGCGCACCACCACCCACGACGCACACGCGCGCGGAGCCACAGGTCCGCTACGACACGCGTCCGCGGATAGAGAAAATCAGCGCCATGGTAAGGGATGGGAGGGAGGGGTAGGATGTCAGATGTTGACGCGAGCGCACCTAACTGGCCTCCGCCCCCTCCCCCGGCTCCCCTGCGTCTTGCAAGTGCCAATATTGAGGGGAGGGATGACGGCGACGACGACGACGACGGCGACGACGACGATGACAACGACGACGGCCTGGGTGCAACCCAACAGAGGCGCTCTGCCAGGAATCACCGAAGCAATGCACCGACGAGCATCGGACTACTTGCTGTTACGGATTTCCCTAATTACCACGAGGAAGCCGCCTGCAATACTAAAGAACTTGTAGGATGCTGCGCCCAAACACGCCGTACTCTGGCTCGACAGTGGCAGCCGCAAGAAGAGGAGGATGATGATGATGATGATGATGAGGGCAGAGGAGCAGGCACGTCGAACGACTTGCGATATGAATCTGCCCTCCACTCGCTGCTACGAAGAACGAACACGTTCCTCGTCCTTCTCCTCCAAAGGTCCACAAGAGCCGCATGACTCATAAACTGTGGGAGGTCCGCGCAGGTCTCGTGGATCGGCGCTGGAACCCCCTCCTTGGCGCCGCCAGCGGGCTCCAGCGCCGATCCGAGAAATCGGTGTTGGCCCAGGACGGCGTACGATTCGGTGTGCGGTCCATCCTTTCCCCTGTGCGTCCTCCTCCTGCAAAGTCCGACAGGCTACCTCTCGCGAGCACGAGCACGGTGGACGGCCACCCCACGCGCGGAGTGTTGAGCAGGGACCGACCGTCCCTGCATTTCTATATTTCTACCACGAAATGTTCTTCAAAACCCAAAAGTGTTCTAATAACAAAAACAATGTTCTTATAACAAAGACCCGATGTGATAAATCAAAACAGACAACACCAGACATGTTCTAAGAACATTTCGTGGAAACCACAAAAGGTTCTTAGAACATTGTTTGGTAGGGCTACAGGCGAGCCAGGACGCTTCGCCACTGCTTGAGAGTGGAGCACTCTCCAGACCGAGCAGCCCAAACAGAGCCTCGAGGCCCGCCCAGCCGCATCGGCGGCGCTGGTCCGCCCTAGAATCCGTGCGCGGCAGCGCTCACGCAGGAGGGGCGGCGCGAGGGGGCCGGGCTCTTCTGAGGCGGCGAGGCCTCCAGCGAACAGATCGGGGGGGAGGTTTTTTCGAAGACCGCCTGGCTTCTGCAAGGGTTCTTAATTTCGCGTTTCGCGCTGCGCGAAGCGCGAAGCGCGAAGTGCGAATAACTTCGCGCCCTCGAGGGCGCCCTTGCTTCTGAGACGTCTTTCCAAAAGCACGCGGGGCTTCTAAGATCCCTGAGGGCTTGACGGCTTTGCGCCAGTCGGCTTGTGGCGGTCGCGCCAGAAAAATCCGAGCAAATGCAGATGCATCGAGATACATCCTGGTGAATGGTGGCACATCCAAGTGAATCCAGAGATCTCCAGGGACATCTGGAGCAAATCGTGGCCGTTCCAGCGCGAGTCGAGGGACGGCAGAAGTCGTTAGGCCCTGAACGATAAGAAGACCCCCTGTCTTCTACGAAGCCCCCCGGTCTCCGTAGGATGCCGCCACCCTCGCGCCACCCCCCTGCGTGTGCGCCAAACGATTTTCAAGCACGTGTCCAGAGCAAAATCACCTTGTCGGAGAGTTTGCTGCCCATAACAGGGGATGTGCTTACCCCTATCCCAGGATGCGTGGGTTTCTCGAGCGGACCAAAAATTTAAGGCCCAACCCTGGGCTATACGATGGGGGGCGTTCATCCTCGATAGGGGTGCGTCCGACGAGCCCCCTTGGGGTGTGTCCGACGCCTCGTCTGGCTCCGTGTCCTGCTCCTTCTCCTCCTCCTCCTTCTCCTCCTCCTGCTCCGCCTTCTCCTCCTTCTCCTCCTCCTCCTCCTCCTCGTCCTGCTCCTCCTCTTCCTCGTCCTCCTCCTCCTCGTCCTCGTTCTCCTCCTCGTCCTCCTCGTCCTCCTCCTCGTCCTCCACCTCCTCGTCCTCCTCCGCCCCCTTCTTCTGAGCGGCCAGACTTCTCGGGCGGAACTCGGGGACTGGGCGAGAGAAAAACCGCCTGCGAGCCCAGACTTCCCCCTAGTCGTGACAGACATCACGGCGGGAGACATTAACAAGAACGATAAAAAGAACAGTAACATGAAACAATGGCATAAACATAGACACAATGAATCAATGGCATATATCAGGTAGGGGAACAAACAATGACATGAACATAAAGACTCGGAGGTCCGCGCGGACTTCTCGGATCGGCGCTGGAGCCCCCTGGCGGCGCCTCCGGCGCCCAGCGCCGATCCAAGAAATCTGCGCAGAGGGACGAAAGTTTATGTTTACATAATTTGTTGCTCTTTGACCCAGGCCAGCGCGGGTGACGCACCTTCCTGCCCGACCTCCGCCCGCCCCACCCCCTCGAGCATAGTTTAACTCATCCTTATCCCCACGGGCGTTGCCTGGGCCCCACTGGCCAATTCAGCCCCCTAGATAGGGATAAAGGCTGTTCCCTTGGAGATCCGAAGGGCGTAACGCATAACCCCCAACTGGTGTGACATGGTGGGGATTCGGATGGGGATGGGGATCCGTTAAACGATAACGGAGCGCCCGGATATTCATCCCCAGGTGACAACAAAGTTCGGGGTTCTGGGGGATCATGACAATTGTTCCAGGCAGGTCGCATGTAGGAATGGTAATGCTGCTACTCATGACAAGGATATTAAATGCACGATTGGTACTTGCCTCGCCGCCCCCCGCCGAAAAACAAACAGTGCTCGCGCAAGGGATAATCATGGAGGGAAGGGGGTGGTAGGATTTATTGTCGGGGGCATGGGGTTACCGACCCCACCTCCCTCCTCCCAGGCCCGCCGGCGAGACGCGCCTCCCCGCCCGACTTGGCCACGATGCCCTTCATTTTCGACCCGTTGGTGCCGATGATGCGCCGCGCCACGCGGAACTGCGGCGGGGGGCACGGGGAACGAAAGAGGAGCAAGCAATGACATACAAAGATACGGGGACAAACAAAGGTAGGGGATAGGGGAACACATTGGGAGAGAAGCAATGACATAAACAGAACAACTCGGAGGTCCGCGCGGTGTCCTCGAGTCGGCGCTGGGGCCCCCTGGCGGTGCCTCCGGCGCCACCCCGGGCGCGCTGCGCGCGCCAAAGGGTTCAGCGCCGATCCGAGAAATCCAGGTGGACCTCTGATTTGTGTTGCTGATGTCATGGCTTTCTTTTTCTTTCCCCCCGAACAGGGTGGAATCTGTTTGACCTGTCTTCGCGCATCGCGCCCCACGAGGCCTGGCTGTCATCACGTCCATCACGCTATCAGGGTGTCTGTGAACGGTTTCCTTGGTTGCGACTCTGAGCGAACGTACGGGTGAGCAAGGACGAACGTGAACAGAAACCAAATGCCTCAAATCTACTCACAATGGCCGCTAGCTCAGCCTTCGAGCCCGTCACCGCCGCCGAAGCACGACGTGAGGAGGCTGCACACGGAACAGACGGCGATAGGACCTTTTGTCAGTCATGGCGTCCCGCGGGAGGCCAGGCCAGTCCAAGATCAGCGCCAATCGAGAGCACAGGGCGGCAGCGCGGGCCTCAGCATCCGGGGGCCCGTGCGTGTCAGCCTCGATGCCGTATGAAACGTCCCCCGTCCTGACTGCCCGCACTCTGGGGCCGTAGGTGCCAGCATGAGATCAGGCCAACCGTCAACTGCCCATGAAGGCGCAGACCGTGGCGCCCGAAGAGCAGGCACTGCCAACCGCTTTGTCGAAGGCCTACACCGTCGATTGGCGCAGAACAAAAGACGCTGCCGAATCAAGGGCCGAGCCGTGGCCGACCTTCGGGCGGCACTCCACATCAACCTTGCCCGCTGCTCCCGGGGGCGTCGGGCTGGCACCGGCGATGCGCGCTGTTGCTGCTGGGGACGTGCAGCAGCGCCGCCGCACTCGCGGAGAGGATGGCCGAAATCTTCCTGGCTCTGGCATGCAGTGCGTCATTGCGCCTGGCAGTGGTCATATTCTTTTGTATCGCTTACATGTTGTCCACCCGCTGTTGGGCAAGCGGCGTTCTGTCCCGAATGGACACCGTCCGCAGCGACGCCGACAGCGAACCCTGCTGAAAATGGGCAGGAACTGCTGTCGGTTTTAGTGCCCGGTCATTCCGCGTTAGACGAAGCCAAGCCGAGGATGACATCGGGTGAGGGTGAATCGAGAACCTGAGATCTGGCGGCTCTGGAGGATGCCTCGGGCGCCGCGGCCCTCTCAGAGCGTTCTGGGACGCTCTGAGAGCTTTGGGGAACGCTTGGGAACGGAGTTGTCATCGTCCTAGCCCTGTCCAGTAGAGGCCTCCCCGATGAGATCCGAGCAGCTGGGGTCCGTCCAACTCCAATCGTACCGAGCGGGGGCCTCCTCCTCGTTGTCGATGCCGATGAAAAACCGGCACGTGTGCTTCGCCTCGCCAGGCCGCCCCCGCCTTGGAGATCGGCTCCGGGAGCGGGAGCGAGATCTGCAGGCCGCTCTTTGCTGAAGGGGCCCAGGGGCACACCAAACAGAGCCTCAAATCCCGGGTTGATGTTCCCTGTTTCCCTGTCCGTCTTCCCCCCAACTTCCCCGCTTTTCCACACGTCCCTGGGGATCGCCGATAAGTTGTGTTTGTGTTTTTTTTTTTTTTTTTTGTGTGTGTGTGTGTGTGCTGTGCTGTGCTCCCCTCCTGCTCTTTGCGCGGCGGGAGCCGAAGAGTCCGGGTCCGAGGAGCCGAGGCGCGCCCGACCCGCCTCCAGCTCCCGGCCCTCCCCGAGGCCCACTCATGCTCCCGCTCCCGCTGCTTGAGCATCGCTTAGGCGATCCCTATCCCCACGGGCGTGGCCTGGGCCCCACTGGCCGATTTACCCACTTAGAGGGGGTTATAGGCCGTTCCCTTCGGGTTTCGAGGGGTGAATCCCCAACCGGGGTTGTAATTTGGTGGGGGTCTCGAAAAGGACGAGGATGGGGATGGGGGTCGGTTAAACGATACTGACTGCTGGTTCTCCTCGTCCTCCTCCTTCCTCATCCTCGTCCTCCTCGACGGATGCCAGGCGCAGACTTTGCCTGGCCGATTGCCTCCAATCTTTCGGCCTGATCGGCACTGAGCTCCGAGAGCGGCCATCCCGTGTCCTCGGGGATGACGAGCATGGCGGTATTTTCCTACGGGGGGTGCCCTGTCACGGGCCCATGGGGCGGCCAATCTCCGCCGCCCTGTGGTGCAAAGAGGCCCTGTCCGAAGAGTCTCCCCCGGGGCTTTGGCTGACCACAAGACCTCTCTCTGGTTTTTCCTCCTTCCGTGACATGCGGTCCTCGTCCTCTTCCTCCTGCTCATCCACCACCCCCTCTTCCTCCGATGTGCGCAGCTTCCCCTTTTTGAAGGGGCCCTGGGCCACACAAATAAATACACACACATAACAGGATTATGTTTTGGGTTTTCGTTTCCCCCCACTTCACACATTCTCCCATATTTTCCTAGGGGTCGACGATCAATTGTGTCTGTGTGTTTTTCCCCTCCTGACTTTTCTTATGGCGCGCAACATGATGGGGGGTCCCCTTGGGGGGCTCCGGGTCCGCTGTGGCACCCGTCGGCAGATGGAAGGGACACGTCGCAGTGGGAGGCGACGGGCGGGAGGGGCAAGATGTCAGATACAGTCAACCGGTATAGGAAGGATGCGCGGTAAGGATGCAAGGGCCTTGCCCGCCGATTTCGAAGCTTTCCGAGCGCAGGGCGGCCAGCGAAAGTGGCCAAGGATGGACCGAGGAGGCAAGTATGCAAGGGTACCCTTGGGAAGGTAGCCCATCCTTGCTATGCGGGCTGACTGTATGGCGCGAACGCACCTAGCTTGCCAACACCCCCTCTTCCCTCCCCCCTTCTCCTCTCTCCCGCAGAGCCCCGCCCCTGCCAACGCTGCTCTCCGTATACATTCTGGTTCGAGGCTATCTTCATAGGGGCCTGGTCGGCGTTTTTTCCATTTTGGGTTCCGACTTTTGGCCGAAGGGTCCGGGTGGGGGAGGAAGGGGTCTGGGTCTGGGCCGGTGCTCAGCGGATCTGCTTCTAATTACGAGTCGCGCCATCAGGTTGGGGGGAAGGGCTCCTGACCAGTCGCCGAAGCAACCAAGAACTGGACTATGAAGGGGGGGGAGAGGAATGCCAGGGGCCCGCGCCGATTTGCGAAACAACCAAAAAAGGCGACCTGTCAGCCCCGAAGCACGACCGAGCAGATCGGATTGATCTGTGGCAGGCCGCGACACTTTTCAGCGGGCCCCCATCCTGCCGCCAGCGCGGTCCTCCGAGCCCCCCTCACGGCTGCATCCTTCGATGTGGGTGCGCAGGCCGAGCACTGCCCATACACAGTCATGACGCGATGGGCTCCGCTGCAGACTGTGGGCGTATCTCCTTCTGAAACTCATCCTCGCCAGTGAGATGCACACAGTGACGTCTGGGGCGCAGCGAAGGGCCAAATCTTCACGCACGTCTTCTGGCGAGTTGCCTTTAGTTACTGCTCTGGCAGCCGCGATCCGATGGAAAGGTACAGACCCTGACGGACAAATACAAATTACGATGTCCAGATTGGTTCGAGCACACGCGCGCCATGATAAAACAACAACCGTTCCTGGAATAACCCCTTGCGTAGTACGGTGGGTAACCAGGCGGCGGATAATCCGGAATCCCCCGTCGGGGCAATGGCTGAAGAGGAGACCCTCTGGGTGAACACAGAGGAAAGACACGGGTGAATGACCACCACGTGCACCTCTACCATGAGGGCCGTGGGGGTCAAACTTAATATCAGCGCAAACGAAGTCACAAGGTATACGAAAATAACCGAAAAAGAGCTTCCCACTCTATCGTCCTGCAAACTTTGCTGGATTGGGTGTGCCAGTGCCGCCTGATCGGCACGCCCGATATGGGTAAGAGTCTACGGTAAGAGCAACAAAGGAACGACACCCAACAACACATGTTGCTCAAAACCGACAACGGTCGCTGCTGGGTAAACAAGCTTGTGCCTCCAACGGGCACGGTCAGCAACGAAACAGACACGGACGGATGGGCAGGAACTGCCGAGTAAGGGGGCGGGGGGGGGGGGTACGGGTGGAGTTGGTAAAAAATGTGTGCGCGTCATCACTATGTGTTATGTTATTTCGTTACTCACGACGTTAGTTATAATACTTTTTGCTGTCGTAGCAGCAATAACGCAGCCCCACTACTACAGCACGCACTCGTACAACCCCAGTACTACAACTCCCAGTCGTAGAACCCTAGTACTGCAGGCCCCAGCTGCGCAGCTCCAGTACTACAGCCCCCAGTAATACAGCCCTAGCACTACTGCCCCAGTACTGGACCCAGCAGTACAACCCCAATGCGACACTCCCAGTAAAACAGGCCCCAGTACTACAGGGGCACTTAATAGGAAACCAAAACAAATTCCAACGATCAAAAGGAAATTGCAAACTTTACTGTGTTTCCACAGTGCTCTTGGTGCTCGCATTGCAAATACTTACAAACAACAAACAATGTTCTCGGCCCCAGGAGGTCTAGAACGCTGCGTTTTATCAGGTCTTCAACATCGGAAGGCAACAACGCCGTGTATAACATAGCGTTTTCACCCTCCCGAGAGCCAAAACGGTGCGTCTCCCCTCCACGGGCTCGCCAGCCAGATTTTCAACGCTGGAACATCGACTACTGACATCGAACGGACGCTGCCTTTCCATAGGAATCGCAAGCCACGAAACTCATCTTTCGTAGCCTGGCCCGCTCTTCTGATTGGCGTCCGAAGGCCCAAGGCCCTTCCGCAGATAACCTTCGCGGAACTTCAGGCGTGGCTCGAAGCCGGCGCCCTTGCGCCAACAAAGGGGCGTGGGGAAAGCGCTGCCTGGCTGGAGTTTCCTGGACCTCGTCCCGAAACTCCCCACCAACTCAATGCGCCGGCGAGAGCCGCGAAGGTGGCGTGGGTGAGCAAGAAAAAAAAAACGGCAACCGCCGCACCACACTGGGAACCCAACGAAAAGGCAGGAACCCCGGGTGCGCCGCGGGATGGCATCGAACCGACAGCGGGGGGCCGGAAAGGCTCGTGTTCGCCCTCGAGAAGGCAAGCGACCCGGGAGAGAGAAGCCCCAGAAGCTTGGGTTTGCCCGCGAGAAGGCAGGGACCCGGGGTGTGCCCGCGAGAAGGCAGGGACCCGAGAGCGGAACCCCATAGGCTTGGGCTTGCCCGCGAGAAGGCAAGGACCCTGGGTTTGCCCGCGAGAAGGCAATGACATGCACGCGTCCTCGCAGGGAGCCTGGCAAAGCCCGCGAGAAGGCAGCGACCCGAGAGTGAGAAACCCTGGAGGCTGAGTTTGCCCGCGAGAAGGCAGGGGCTCTGGGTGCGCCCGCGAGAAGGCGAGAAAACTGTGACCCTGCACGTGGCTTCTCACAAGGAACCCGGCCGAACACACGTTGCCATTAGGGAACCCTGCGGCCAGAAGGCCAGGCCCAGCAGAAGACGACCGCGGTCAAGGAGCGCGGCACGCTTTTGCGCCGCCGCGCCACTGGCGCCCGGATCCCACGGATTAAGTGCGAGCTGGGCCGAGCGGCGCGACGCACGACCTGATGACACAGGAGCCGCTCCGAGGCATACTTCCGCCGCTCAAGAACAAGCGGGCCGGCGCGCCGAGGACCGCGCGCCCGCGAAGCAGGCGCCGAGGCGCGCGAGCGGAGGAGAAGGGGTGAGGCGAGCGACTGCGGGCCTGCCAGAAACAAGTTTACGCTTCAGAAAACATGTCAACCTATCCCCCTCCACGGGCTCGCCGGCCAGATGTGACCGAGCATCGATTGTTAAAACCGATTTGACGATGCCCTTCTATCGGAATCCAGAGCCACTACTCCCCCCGACACAACTATTACTAACGCGACCTTTTACATCATATCCCTCCACAGGCTCGCCGGCCAGATGTTCAACGCCAGAGCATCGACCACTGGCGTCGATTTCCAGCCACCCCTCTATTGAAATCGCAAGGCGCACAACTTTTAGACAAACTGTGACGAATACGACCTTTTTACCTCATCTTCCTCCACGGGCTCGCCGGCCAGACGTTCAAAGCCACAGCGTGGATGACTGAAACCGATGTGCCACATCTCTACTATCGAAATCGCAAGGCGCAGAATCTCTGGGAACAAAAACCTACACAAACGACCTTTAAGATAATCCCCCTCCGAAGGCTCGCCCGCCCCCCCCCGCCTCCTCCCGTTCTTTTTGTCCTCTCCTTGCGTGGCAAATATAGCAAACGCTAGTCTTCCCACGAAACATATCCGGGCCAGTGCGGTGCGTTTTCCGGCGGAAAATCAAACTCTACGCATGCAAGAATCGCTGGTTTGTCGCGACGGGCGGTTTTCGCCCCGTCGTTTGATTACAATTACGAAGCCTAGACCACGCCCGCGCCGCACCGCGGCGCGCGCGCGGGCGGTTTCTTCTCCCGCTGGCAAGTGCTTTTCGGTCAAAAATCGACTGCATTCCCGCTTTG